TATTTTATCTCTTTTACAAGACGTAAGATACGCCTTTAGTGTCTCCAGAATCTGTCTGTAAAGTTTTACCTCAAAATACCCATCAGATAATTGATTATAGCCTTTAGAATATGCCCGTTTTGTTGTCTGAATACAGAGTAGTTGTTTTTGTAGCCTGTGGCTTTAAATGCAAATGAGCTGCTTCTCCTCACCCATCGTTCCCACCTGTGTGTCTGCTTTTCCTGCGTCAGCGAGTGCAGTAGAGTGGAGGATTTGTGTTGCTATTTTTAAACCAGCGCAACCCTATTTTGTGCCACGTTGTGTAAATAGAAAATCTATCTGCGCCACTTTGTGGACTCATGGGTGTGCTGGTCTAAAAAGGAAGTGTGTTAAGGTGCATTGTTGCCGCGTTGATATTGTGAGGAACTGAAATAGACAGCGCAATTAACAAACTAAAAGCTGTGTATTTGCAGTATTTTACAGTGCATTTTTCTGTTTCCTATCTTGTTAGATCATTGTTGACAACTATTGTGAGAAATATTTCACATAAGTGACTTCACATAGATCAGGGGTTTTCAAAGTGTGAGGCGCACCTCCCCTGGGGGGCGCCAGAGCATGTCAGGGGAGGCGCGGGAAAAAATATTATATAATAAAAGTTTAATTATTATATGTATTTTTATTATATTTAAACGTTTTAATTAAACAAAGCTAAAAAAAAAAAGTAATACGTCTAAAATAAGAAAACCTTTTTTACCCAGAAGGCCATAGCTGTGAATTCGCTTCTGTTTGGCAAGCCCGCCAATACAGGTAGATGCCTGCTAATACAATGGATCGGTTTCTGAGACCCCCCGATTCAAAGCCTTCAAGTTCAGGGCTTAAACCCAAAAGACGACGATATGATGATCAGTATTTGAGTTTAGGATTGACGTGGACAGGACCAGCTGATGAACCACGACCTTTATGTGTGGTTTGTCAAGATATTTTGGCTAATAACAGCATGAGACCCGCTAAACTTCGACTGTTTTGACTGGGATGGACAGTTCTTGGATCTGTTCTATTCATATTGAACCATCATCCTTAAAAACTTTATATTAAAATACTTGTTATTATATAATTGCACTTTCATGCAAATGATGATAAAAGTGAGTTAACAGTCTGACATCTGTCTGTCTTTATATATATATACTGTTTATATATATATATATATATATATATATATATATATATATATATATATATATATATATATATATATATATACTGTATATACTGTATATATATATATGTGTGTGTGTGTGTATATATATATATATATATATATATATATATATATATATATATATATATATATATATATATATATATATATATATATATATATGTGTGTGTGTGTGTGTGTGTGTGTGTGTGTGCGTGGTGCGTGTTTGGGAGGAGGGGGGCACCAATGGATAAGTTGTGTCAAAAGGGAGGCCCACTGTCTTAGACTTTGAAAAACCCTGACATAGATGAATATCATTAATTAATAATAATAACACATATTACAAGTACATTGAGCACAATTGACATTTGAGAAGTGTGTATCAAACTGGTGGTCCTTCACATTAATCGGTACCCAAGAAGTACACTGCAAAAAATGCTTTTCTTGTTTAGATTTTTTGTCTTGTTTCTAGTCTAAATATCTAAAATGTCTTATATCAAGAAGAATTTTCTTGACGAGCAAAACATATTGTCTTGTTTTGAGAAATAAAATGCCAATATTAAGTGAGTTTTTCCTTAAAACAAGCAAAATAATCTGCCAATGGGGAAAGCAAATTAATCTTGTTTTTTCTTTTGACGTAAGATTATTTTGCTTACCCCATTGGCAGATTATTTTGCTTATTTTAAGAAAAAACTCACTTAATATGGGCATATTATTTCTCAAAACAAGACAATATGTTGTGCTTGTGTATACCATTCTTCTTGATTTAGGAATTTTTAGATATTTAGACTAGAAACAAGACAAAAAATCTAAGTAAGAAAAGCATTTTTTGCAGTGTAGCTCTGAGTTTCAAAAAGGTTGGTGACCCCTGCTTTAGACCATTCTGGGAAGTCACATGTTTATTATAAATACTCAAATGAATCTTATTAATAGACTTGTGAAAGGTTTGTTGGTTTTCTCGCACAGGAACTTCAGTCATATAGGGTATGTGAAGCAGGAAGACCAACAATTTTTACATAGTGTTAAAGCACATAATAAAGACTGATGACCTTTTCTCTCAGAAAATCAAGAGAAATGCAGTTCCGTTTGGCCCAAAAACCCTGCCTCTTTCTATTCTATACAGCTCTATCTTTAAGTGCAAGGGTGCATCCTGTGTGCACACAGTTAGAAGGGTCAGGGGGGATTCGCTGTCTCAGCAGGCTGTTCTCACACCTCTAGTTTGAAAAAGGTGAGGGAAGTATGTGTTTACAGCTATGTTTAGGTGGAATTGTCGAGTGGCCAAAGAGGGAAGGGTTTGCATAAAAGGGGTTTCGTTCAGTGGATAAAAAACAGCTAATTCGGACACCATCAACACAGACACAGGAGAGATGGACAGTGGTTCATTGAGCAGCATTTACAGTGGGTCTGAGAAAGCTTTCACACTAGCACTTTTGGTCCACACCTGGGTTGGTTTGACGTCAGAGTACGGTACATTTAGCAAGTGTAAGCGTGTCTTCTAAACTTGGGTGCGCACTCACAAACCATTCATTCGTGTGTGTATGTGTGTATCACATACTGTACTTTGCAGACAAGCGGGACTGAGCCAGGGCAAATACAGTGATAATGTCTGCTTGTTTCCTCCAACAACAGCTTCTGCAGACATCACTTTATGTTTTAAGCGTTTAGAATATTTTTCCGGCAGATGGACGCGAGTCACTTTCTGTATGCCCAAAACCAAAAGATTCAGTAAAAGCAGAATGACCGCGATGTGCGGACATCTTTCCATTATGGTGCTTTGTATAGTAGACAAGTGGATCAAAACATTTCATCAAAGAATTCATGCCTTAGTACAGTTTTTTCTTATCCATTATATACTATTATTGATCCATGTGAAGTTTCACAAACTAATTTCGAGAGGAGCACGTGATATGATTGTGCACTGCTGGCCACTCATCTGTAATCAGTAATAATCCAATCAGAGTGATCCTAGCTCAGGCCCGGCCCTAGTCAATTTGGCACCCTATAGAAGATTTCAGGTGGCGCCCCGTCACATCAACGTTGGAATGTAAAAAATATGGCACAACAAATAGCTTCAAATGATAGAATACATAGCAAACATTAGAAAATATTGACAATAAAATAAAAGGTTTAGCCTATTAATATCAATGGCCTATACAGAAATTAAATAAAGCTATAAAATAGCTTTTATTCGTATTTGCATATTGAATAAAGTTACTATAGTTATTTCAGCCTGATCTCACGAGAAAACGTAAGTATTTTACGTTTTGCTAGTTTAGTGGCTAATTCGTACGAATTCGTACAAGTTCAGTCGTACGAAATGGTACGATTTTAAAAAGGAGGCGTGGCACCTGACCCCACCCCTAACCCCAACCGTCATTGGGGGATAAGCAAATCGTACTAAATTGTACGAACTAGATCGTACGAATTCATACGAATTAGCCACTAAATGAAAAAGTTACGAATTGCTGTGAGATTGTGTTGGTTATTTAGTGAAGAGCAGCTGGTGAATCTCTCATTGTGTTTTGTTTGATAACAGAGGTGTTAATGTAAGAATGCACAGATCTATAATGAAGCATTCGACTACTTTAATAACTGTTTGTGCAAATTTAAGAGAAAATTTGTTGTGTTTAAAATAAAACACGCAGGACAGAGTAACAACAAAAAAAAAAAAAACGGAAAAAAAAGAAGCACTTTTTCGACGGTCCCTTACTAAGAGCTCCTCAATGCGCGAGCTTTTCCAGCCAAACGCATATTGCGAGGGCTTAAACAGAGCAGTGCTCGTAATATCGAGCGAAAAAAAAAAAAAAGAAAGACAGCTGTGAAACATAACCAGCTTTGTCTTTTTGTAGGAAACCACACTTTAGATATTTTTAGGGTAAGAGGTTTTTGAGTTATTGTTGTCCATCCATCACTGAATGTGTGTCATGAATATAGAAAACAAAACCAACTTAACCGCGCTCATGTCTGGCTGTACAGCGCCCTTAGCATTTGCCTATACTGCCTATGCCACGGGCCCGGCCCTGTCCTAGCTTAATACAAATGGATCACTTTCTTCTTTTTGCTCTATCTTCTTTTTGGAAGAATCCTCCCTTCCACCCCATCTCCTCCTTTTTCTCCCTTTCTAAAGGGGGAGCGATCGAGACCTACCTGATCTCGGATCCCCTGATGTGCTTATTGACCGGGCGGAACCCCTGGGCTCAAATATCTCCGAGCTCAGGGTTCTCTCCCGGGACAGCATGCCAAACCTGCTATAAATGCCAAGCATGTCTAAGTGGGAACTCTTGAAATATAGTTTTTTCTATTTTAATTATTTCCCAAACAATATTTAACAGAGCATGGAATTTTTCACAGTAATATTTTTGTAATATCTTTTTTCTTCTGGAGAAAGTCTTATTTCAGCTAGAATACAAGCAGTTGTTATTTTTTTTTTACTATTTTAAGATTGGTATTACTAGCCCCCTTAAGCATTTTTTTACAGAACAAACCATCAATAATTGTAATTGTAATAACAATCAATAATAATTTGCCTAATTAACCTAGTTGTCACCAAAAGCTGAATACTAGGATCTTTTAAAATATCTAGTAAAATTATGTACCATCATAATGGAAAGGATTTAAAAAAAAAAAAAGTTTTCACAAATTATTTTAAACTGTTATGTTTAGAAATGTGTTTAAAAGATCCTATATAAGGGGCTAATAATTCAGGAGGGCTAATAATTCTGACTTCAACTGTTGATATATTTGGTAAACATACATTTTGTGAATTGGTAGATTTATTTTCATTTCCTTTTTCTCTCTCCCTCTCTTGTGCATTTAGATGGAGTCGGCAGCTTCAGAAATTCTTCGAAGTGCAGAACCACTAACCAGCTTCACCGCTGACCTCAATGGCATCATAGAGGCAAATTGGACTCGCACAGAAGCAAATGTTTCCTGCGAATTGTCCAAGATCCCAGCTCATCCTGTTTTCATATTTGCATACTCTCTTGTGTTTCTTGTCAGTCTGGTGCTGAACTGCGTCACGATGCGGGTGTATTTCTGCAACAGACAACGTGTACAATCCAGTGTCACAGTCTACATGAAGAACCTGGCAGCGGCTGATTTCTTCCTTTGCCTTTGTTTACCTTTGCGCATTGCTAACTATGCTAGCAGTTCAGAGACCATGCGCAATATTTACTGCAGCTTCGGAGCAACTGGATTTTATATCAACATGTATGCAAGCATTCTCTTCATGGACTTCATCGCTGCAAACAGGTATACTGCTTAGTGGGAACATTTGGGAGAAGTTCACACTTGGGGGAAATGAGTATTAAACATTATTTCTCCAAAAAAAAAAAAAAAAAACATTTCTTAAGGTGCTGTTGACTTGAAATTTTCTCTGGATGTTAATAGCAAGCAAAGAAAAGAAAACAACACTAAGTTATGTGTAATAAAATGAAATGACACAGGGAAAAAGTATTGAACACATGAAGAAAGCAATCCAAGCTCTTTCTGAAAACGTAGTCCCGTGGACGTTTCTGGAGACGTTTTCACAAAATACTCCCCGGGAGCTACGTATTCGTGCAGTTTTTGTTTCAGCGAATCCGCGAGAGGCCGCTGTGCATGCTTTTTCGCACCTCAAACGTCTCTCGTGAGCGCCGTTCGCCGAACCCACCAGAGGTCGCTGTCAAACGAACTCCCGTCTGTCTGAATGACAGAATGATTGACCGTGCAACCACCCTCCTTCCTCCTTCCCTGAACCCGACCAACAACGATTCACAAAAAGCCGTCCAAAAAAAAAAAAAAGCCCTCGTCTGATTTTGACCACGTTTTCGGATTTTGACCACATTCTCACCCGTTATGAACTCGTTCGCTTTATTTTTGGGATTTTGTTTTTGTTTTCTTACCTGATTCCTGGAACCGTTCCTCCCCGGACTCGAACCCGGTCATCATCGTTTTAAAATGTTTTTGAAAGTGTGTGTGTTTCTGACTGGTTGGGAGATACAAAAGGTAGACTATAGTCATGTGAAATACAATAGGCTACAAATTACAAATAGGCTACTTCTCCAAAAAAAAAAAAAAACATTTTTGAGGTGCTGTTGACTTGAAATTTTCACTGGATGTTAATAACAAGCAAAGAAAAGAAAACAACACTACTTAAAAAATGAAGTTATGTGTAATAAAATGAAATGACACAGGGAAAAAGTATTGAACACATGAAGAAAGCAATCCAGGCTCATTCTGAAAACGTAGTCCCGTGGAAGTTTCTGGAGACGTTTTCGCAAAATACTCCCCGGGAGCTACGTATTCGTGCAGTTTTTGTTTCCGCGAATCCGCAAGAGGCCGCTGTGCATGCTTTTTCGCGCCTCGAACGTCTCTCGTAAGCGCCGTTCGCCGAACCCACCAGAGGTCGCTGTCAAACGAACTCCCGTCTGTCTAAATGACAGAATGATTGACCGTGCGACCACCCTCCCTCCTCCTTCCCTGAACCCGACCAACAACGATTCACAAAAAGCAGTCCAAAAAAAAATAAAAGCCCTCGTCTGATTTTGACCACGTTTTCGGATTTTGACCACATTCTCACCCGTTATGAACTCGTTCGCTTTATTTTTGGGATTTTGTTTTTGTTTTCTTACCTGATTCCTGGAACCGTTCTTCCCCGGACTCGAACCCGGTCATCATCGTTTTAAAATGTTTTTGAAAATGTGTGTTTCTGACTGGTTGGGAGATACAAAAGGTAGACTATAGTCATGTGAAATACAATAGGCTACAAATTACAAATAGGCTATTTCTCCAAAAAAAAAAAAACATTTTTAAGGTGCTGTTGACTTGAAATTTTCACTGGATGTTAATAACAAGCAAAGAAAAGAAAACAACACTACTTAAAAAATGAAGTTATGTGTAATAAAATGAAATGACACAGGGAAAAAGTATTGAACACATGAAGAAAGCAGTCCAGGCTCATTCTGAAAACGTAGTCCCGTGGACGTTTTTGGAGACGTTTTCACAAAATACTCCCCGGGAGCTACGTATTCGTGCAGTTTTTGTTTCAGCGAATCCGCGAGAGGCCGCTGTGCATGCTTTTTCGCGCCTCAAACGTCTTTCGTGAGCGCCGTTCGCCGAACCCACCAGAGGTCGCTGTCAAACGAACTCCCGTCTGTCTGAATGACAGAATGATTGACCGTGCAACCACCCTCCCTCCTCCTTCCCTGAACCCGACCAACAACGATTCACAAAAAGCCGTCCAAAAGAAATAAAAGCCCTCGTCTGATTTTGACCACGTTTTCGGATTTTGACCACATTCTCACCCCGTTATGACCTCGTTCGCTTTATTTTTGGGATTTTGTTTTGATTCCTGGAACCGTTCTTCCCCGGACTCGTACCCGGTCATCATCGTTTCAAAATATTTTTGAAAGTGTGTGTGTTTCTGACTAGTTGGGAGATACAAAAGGTAGACTATAGTCATGTGAAATACAATAGGCTACAAATTGTGTTGAGGAACACGAACGTCTGTTGAAATACAATAAGTTAAAAGTAGGTCAAAAATTATGTTGAGGAACATGAAGAATTCCCTATTGAAATACAATAGGTTAAATGTTGTGTTGAGGAACTTGAACAAAAAGCAAAATGTGATCTGTAAGTACAAATTGATAGATTAAATTTCATGACTATATAATGAACTGCCACGAGACTGGGTAGACTCCCATTTCATTCCATTTAAGACAAACATATTAAAACTATCAACAAAAGATCTTTAACTTTGATTTAACAGGGACTTTAAAATTGACATGAAACAGAAGTAAAGATAGTCATTATTTAATGTATGTAAATATAATTGAAACTGCAGGCTACTGCTTGTTTTTGTCTTTTGGGAACCGATTGGATTGTTGCAAGATGGGTGCTGATAACAAAATAGACACGAAATATATATCAATTTACTTACTTTATCTCTTTATGTTCCTCAGGTACCTGAAGATAGCCCGTCCATTGGAGACTCACACCCTTCAGACAGTCCGTGCCGCCCGCCACATTTCTGTAGCGACGTGGATCTCTCTGTTGGCCTTGTCTTCAGTCTACCTGATCCTCTTTCTCAAGACATCCTGGAGTTACACTTACACCTCTGAGAAAATGGGCTGCGAGGCTTTGCACAGTCCCCAGCTCAGCCTGGCCTACAAAATCACTCACAGCGTGTCCATGGTGGTCTTCATTTTTGTGCTTGTATCCCTGATCGGTCTCTATTGGCTGACGCTACAAAAAATCCGGGAAGCTCAATTGTCCACGCAGGCCACGTCCAGCAAAAACATGTTCAAAAAGTCGAAGCGCAACATGCTGGTGCTGGTGCTGGTTTTCTGCGTGTGCTTTGTGCCCTATCACTTGGTGAGACTTCCTTACGCGTTTATCAAACTTCAGACTAAGTCTTGCACGCTGCAGGCGGTCTACGTCCTGAAGGAACTGACGGTTCTGCTATCGGCGCTGAATGCGTGTTTGGATCCACTCATATACTTTATCTTCTGCAAGGCCTTCAGAGCCCAGCTGAACCTCAGGAAGAGGGGAGATTCAGGGATAAGCAGCGACGATAAAGGCAACAAAAGACGAATGAGCAACATGTTGACCTACATCGAGACAAAGGTGTCCACGCTAAGACGTGAAAGTGTTATCTAGCACACAAATCCTAAGGGATGACAACAAGGTCCATTATAGAGTGGTTCGTTTAAATGGTACCTGTATTGTTTACGAATATAAGACTTCTTCCTTTTTCTCTTCCATTGCTTGTAATGCCTCATTCACACTGGCATCGACTTTGTAGCTGCCTGTCGCTCTTGGTGGCGGCCTGCTGCAAACGCAGGTCTGCGAAGGTCTACAGCAGGAGTCACCAAATCTGTTCCTGGAGGGCCGGTGTCCTGCAGATTTTAGCTCCAACCCTAATCAAACACACCTGAACAAGCTAAACAAGGTCTTACTAGGTATACTTGAAACATCCAGGCAGGTGTGTTGAGGTAAGTTGGAGCTAAACCCTGCAGGAACACCGGCCCTCCAGGACCGAGACTGGTGACCCCTGGTCTACAGCATGGAGAATACAACCAGCCTTTTAACGAGCTGCGAGAGGATCATGTGAGCTCTACAGGTGCTTCTGTTAGCTGTCGCTCAATAAAGACACTCTTCATTTGCATAAAGTTGAAGGATTCTTATATTTGTTGCATCACTTGACATGCCCACCTGGTCACCAACGGTCGCCGGAAGTCGCTCATTCTCAGTTGAAATGAACAGTCGCTTGTTGTTTTGCCGCTGTGAGTCGCTCGTAGTGTGAATGAGGCTTAAATCAGTTGGAAGACATTCATTTTGAAGATGCTGATTGATTTTTTTTTCTGAATTTGGGCTGTAAATATGCCTTATTATATGCCTTAATACCAAAAACACAAACAGGAGTTGTGTTTGTTGTAGTAGTTCTTATAATTCTTTGACATAAAGTGACTTTTATTACTATCAAATCATTTCTGTTTGCAATAAATGCTATTTTTTTAACTTGATTTTTTTCAAAACATCCTGAAGAAAAAAGCAAGAAAAAAGTCTTAAAATTAATAAAGACCAAATCAGTATTTGACTGTGATTTTCTGAAGGACACCGAAGACTGGAAGAAGGAAGCAAAAAAACTGCCAGCAGAAATATATAAATAATATTTAAAAAATATTAAAAAATTATATTTTATAAAAGCTTTACTATATTTTTCCTATTTTTGTCTGTGTAAGTAGAAGAGACTTTTTTTTCCAAAAGGTTTAGAATAATAATAATAATAAGAAGAAGAAGAAGAAGAAGAAGAAGAAGAGAAATGATGAATAAAATGAAACCTTGTATATAATGTTGGAAATCACGTGGACATGTAGATACATAATTGTTATGTAAAAAGTTTTATTGTTGTGCATTTCTAATATTGTTGCTATTTTTATCAGAAGATTGTACATTTATACTGAATAAAGTTGGTGATTCATTCCACTGTGGCGACACTTGAATGAATGAATGAATAATATTGAATAAAAAGTAAATTGTCACTAATAGTGATTAATTCTAGTGGAATAATACTTAATTGTCTGTTAATAATACCATTAATTTTCTGTTTAATACGGTTTTTGTTTAATTGTATTTCTTTATCATTTTTCATAATTTGTATATTTATATATAACATTATTAGCCCCTCTGTTTATTTTTTTCCCCAATTTCTGTTTAATGGACAGTTTTTTTTACACACTTCTAAGCATAATTAAAACTTCTAAGTTTTAATAACTCACCTCTAATAACCGATTTACTTTATTTTTGCCATGATGACAGTAAATAATATTTGACTAGATATTTTTCAAGACACTTCTATACAGCTTAAAGCGACATTTACAGGCTTAACTAGGTTAATTAGGTTAACTAGGCAGGATAGGGTAATTAGCAAGTTATTGTATAACGACGGTTTGTTCTGCAGACTATCGATTCTGGTGGACTCCAACTGAACTTGACTTTAAACTTGACTCTTTGACAAGTTGCCACTTATGTCCATGGTTTCTCAATATGCGTTCTTCAGCGGTCTTGTGTCGTCGTGTTCTCGTGCAACGTCATCATCAGCTGCCTAAGTTCAGTTCCAATACTCAAGACCGCAAGTACGGAGGACGCGTGAAACTTCCCAGATGTGATCTTGATATCGAGGACGCACCGATGCAGACTTGAGCACCGAACTCGCTCTGGAAGTCCCAGAAGTCATTGCGACTTGAGGTGGGAAGCGCAGCATTTTATTTAGATTTATTATTAAAGTTCAGAGATATGATTTATTTACCTCAGGAGTTTCCCTAAATGAAACGGTGAAAGTAAACATTACCATGGACATAAGATATCTTAATAAAGGAATAAACACATTAAGGGTTGTTTGTTTGCTGAAATTCGTATTAAAATCTGTTTTATTTATATTGTGCAGAGTATATGTATAATGTTTTTATGCAAAGTATATATTTTGAAGAAGGGGGAAACAATAATATACATATATATAGTTGTGCCTTCTACTATCAGCATTTTTATTAAATATATAATTTTATTTTATATATAACTTTTATTAACTATATACTATAACTAAATGCTTAATATAATACTCATAATACTTACTATAATATTTACTTTTATTTACTAAATATATATTAAATATTAAAACTATATATATATTGGGAGATTGCAGGGAGATTTCAAAAGATCAGCTTCTGCTTTAAACTGAACTGATTGAATATTTACTATTAAATATCTACTATTCAAAACTATACAGACAAATGCAAAATACAGTAAAATACCCTAAATCAATTGAAACGCGTCGATGTGATGGCGGTTGAGTTTGCAGCTGGATATTATTGCGCGATCACTGATAGAAACAGTGAACAGCTCTGCCAGAGCGCGTGTAAAGCCCTTATGCAAGCTCTCCTGTATGGAGAACCTCGCTAGATTCTCCTGTATGGGCGAGCGTCTGTTATAAAACACTCACAGGACATTAACTTAAACAACTATGCGGATATATTAAATAGTTCACACAAAAACTATCAGGATGAAAAGAGAGGTATAGCTGGGTATCATCAGCATAGCAGTGGTAGGAGAATCCATGTCTCTGGATGACTGGTCCTAGAGATGATGTGTAGATGGAGAAGAGAAGTGGCCCAAGAACAGAGCCTTGAGGTACCCCAGTGTTTAGATGCTGTAGGTTGGACACCTCTCCCCTCCAAGACACCCTGAATGACCTGTCAGAGAGGTAAGATCTGAACCATTGTATAACAGTGCCCGCAACGCCCAGTGACTCGAGCGTAAATAGCAGGATCTGGTGGTTGACAGTGTCAAAAGCAGCTGACAAGTCCAGCAAAATGAGGACTGATGATTTAGAGTCTGCTTTAGCCAGTCTGAGATCCTCCACGACCGAGAGCAGGGCAGTCTCAGTTGAGTGGCCTTTCTTAAAGCCGGATGGCTTGTTGTCCATGAGATTGTTTTGAGTAAGAAAGTCCAGGACTTGATTGAACACTACTTTCTCCAGAATCTTGGCCATGAATGGAAGCACATGCAAACCTGCATGCACATGCAAGAACATGCAAACTCCACACAGAAAAGGCAACTGACCCAGCCGAGGCTCGAACCAGCGACCTTTTTGCTGTGAGGCGACATCGCTACCTACTGCGCCACTGCGTCGGCAATATAATAAACAATTTAAGAGATTTTATTTTTAGACCTGGTTTCCAGGTGTTACGCAACTTTCCTGTTAAACTACACCAACAGTGTCACACTGAAGTCTAACACATCGCATGTGAAGTCAAACCAGCAGTCATCTTTCAAACCAGGAATAGAGAGCACATGCAAATGAGACTGGTGGTTTGTGGTCGGCTACAGACAGAGAATATGGAAAGTTCATGCTTCCTCTGCGTCAGTTCGTTGCAGTGGAGGAGTGGTAAACGTTTTCCTTCATTGGCTGATATAATTAAGACCAAACCCTAACTAAAGAGGAAATTATATTCGTCGTAGAGCTACAGAAGTTGAACCAACGGATAAGCCTTCGAACATGTTTCTCAGTAGCGATTTTAAGTGTTTAGCAAGACTGATGTACAGCTAGATACACGTCAGTCCTGGTCGGGAAGCCTGTCTTGTTGATGCGGTAAGTTTTCATATTCTTATTGTGTGTCTGTGATTTTGTGGTTCAGAAGTTTATAAAGATGTTTCGATCACTCGTTTACTACACTTAAAATGAAGATATCGGCAGATACTAAAGCTTTAAATTAGCAAAATAAATAATGCTGGCTTTTTCACTACTTTAAATAAATACAACGAGTTTCCATTTTCATGCATGTAAGGTGACCACAGTTTGACTCACTTCCCTAAAGAACTAAGCTGCTATAAATATGGCAAAGAAATATATATGAAAAAAACTGGCAAATTAAGGAGTGTTGTCAAAAGTCATTGCATATATACTCGTCCTGGTCTCTACTGGCCCACAAGATACAAACAAACTGTTTTACAGTTGCGAAATGCTTTGAGAAAGATAGAGATTGTGTGTTTTTAATGTTAATTTTCCACATTAATTGATAATATTGGTGGCATTGTTGACATACACTCACTAGTCACTTTATTAAGTACAGCTGTCCAACTGCTTGTTAATGCAAATTTCTAATCAGCCAATCACATGGCAGCAACTCAATGCATTTCAGGGCCGGAGTGGGACTCTTTTTCAGCCCTGGAATTTCAAACCTCAGTTCACGACTGACTATATTAAAATAAGGTCATTTCCAATTCAGTTTCTAATAACACTATCACGTCTTTTTTTTTTTTGAGAAAACAGCTGCTTTAGAACTTCAAATGTTCAACAACCCCAACAGCAATATATGTCTTAACAATAAAAATGAAAACAAATAAAAAATAACACACTCAGACGAGGATCAAACCCGGGAGGTTGATGTCGTAATCTATCCTGCTAACCACTGGACCACAACAGTTATATAGACAGTAATGTCATCATTAACCTGCAGGCTGGTCATATATAAAAAGAGCAGAGCTGTGGTAAAATAATGAATAAGAAGACTGTGGTCAAGTAAATAAATGAATTAATTTAAAAAGTGTGACTGCTGAGAGCAACAGATTCTGGAGCTAGGGACACCGGCCCTCGCGGCCAAAAAACGGACCGGCCCACCGGGAATTCTCCCGGTCCTCCCGATTAGCCAATCCGGGCCTGATGCATTTAGACATGGTCAGGACGATTTAGTTGACATCAAGCTAGAGATAAACATCTCTTGCACTAGTAATGCTAATGAGCCTAAAAATGAGTATGCGTGTAATACTATGTATAAGTTTCTTATGTAAACGGATGTGCGGTAACTTTTATAGAAACTTATTTTCAGACTCCACCATACCTGCTATAGACATGGAGCATAACATTGGTTTACTGTACAGGAAGTTAAGTGTCAATCAGAAATTCTCAGTAATGCTTTTAAAATAATATGTTCTTGCTGTCGATTGCAGTCACCTTGATACAAGCAGGCCCGGATTGGCTAACCGGGAGAATTCCTGGTGTGCCGGTCTGTTTTTTTTGGCCAGCTTGCACTCTCAGCAGACAAACCTTTTTCATTTATTTATATATTAGACTATAACCTCACTCTTTTTATTCATTATTTTGTCGCAGCTCCGCTCTTTTTATTTATTTTCTCACGACCCTGTGAGCAAAATGCAGCCTGCAGGTTAATGATGACGTAACTATCGTTCGACCCTAAACAGCGGCACCTTCCCACATAGCAAAATTTCTCTGGCCCCGCTCTGGCCCACACAATCAGGTTTTGCTTGGCCCACATGCCGCAGTGAATTACGGTACATGACTGGACCAAATCTGGCTTCCAGACAAGGGCCAAACACGGACCATATCTGGGCCAAGTCTCAGCAAAGTTAATAACTCATAACTGGGCCTGAACTGGGCCAGATGGGTTGGTGTGTCACGGATGCAATGAAATTGATAAACCCATGGAGTGATGCGCTTTAGGCACACTATGGGCACGCTTTTTCTCAAAGTGACCTGATTGGTAGAATTTTTTTTCTTTACTCAAAAATGATTTTAGTGTATTTTAAATGTGGGTTAAGACTGGCCAAACTCACATGGCCCACTTATCAAATTTTTAAATCTGGGCCAAATACTACGTTTTTCATCTGGCCAAAATCTTGTGTGCCGCCTTAAAGAAGGTGCCACCTCTGCCAAACCCGGGCCATGTTTGGCCACATGCTGTATGCCAGTGCCGGATGAATGCCTGCTGTGCTAGCTTTATGCCAAATCTGGGCCAGAATTCTTTGCTACTAGGGTTAGTGAATATAAGAATTTGAATAATTAATATTAATGAATATTTCACCTGCTCAATGAAAATCAGATGATTCACTACATTAAGAACTCTGACATAACTTGATCAGAAAGGGGAGAATAAGATTAAGCCATTGTGGTCCAGTGGTAAGCGCGTTGTGTTATGATGCTGCTGACCTGAGTTTGAATCTAACCTCATTCATTCATTCATTTTCTTGTCGGCTTAGTCCCTTTATTAATCTGGGGTCGCCACAGTGGAATGAACCGCCAACTTATCCAGCAAGTTTTTACGCAGCGGATGCCCTTCCAGCTGCAACCCATCTCTGGGAAACATCCACACACACACACACACATATACTACGAACAATTTAGCCTACCCAATTCACCTGTACCGCATGTCTTTGGACTGTAGGGGAAACCAGAGCACCCGGAGGAAAACCACGCGAAGGCAGGGAGAACATGCAAACTCCACACAGAAACACCAACTGAGCCGAAGTTCGAACCAGCAACCCAGCGACATTTTTGCTGTGAGGCGACAGCACTAACTACTGCGCCACTGCCTCACTCTCGAATCTAACCTAATAAATTTATTTTGATTTTATTTTTATTTAATTTTCACTTTTAGTGTTAAGACATATAATACAGTTTGGGTTACTTATGTAGGTCTGATAGATGGCACAATACTAACGCCCACACAACGTCAAGCTGTAACATCATTAAACGTTGATATATGGTTGGTTTTAGGTCGAACGTTGGACATTGACGTCGGCCTGACGTTGAGTTCTGACGTCAACCTGATTTTCATTTACAAACTAAATGCAATGTCCCCACGACGTTGGGGTACAATGTTAATCTGACATCATGTTGTTGTCTTGTGTCTGCTGGATGTTTAAGGCCATTTCAGTCATCATACAGTAAGCATCCGTCATCTTCAGTGACATGCATCTAAACAGTCTCTGGGTCAATGCATATAAAGATTTTAAGCATCTTCTTATGGACATTTTTAATGCTTCCAAACAGTGTGCTGCAATAAACAATAAGTGAAGTTTATTCATAAACTAATTTCGAGAGGATCACGTGCTTATGATTTATCACGGCCGGTCTCGCATTTGCTTATCACTATCTTCCAATCATATGAGCCCTAAGCTACTATAAATAGCCACAGTTTTCAGTTCACTTTATCTTCGTTTGGATGAAACCCCCCTCCTCCCCTATTCTCCTCCTTTACCTCTGATTGGGCGGCATGGCGGCCCAGTGGTTAGCACTGTGAGCCCCACAGCAAGAACACTGCCGGCCCTGGTTCCACAGGACCAATGGGTGTTTCTTTGAGGAGTTTGTATGTTCTCCCCGTGTCCGCGTGGGTTTTCCCCGGGTTCTCCGGTTTCCTCCCACCATCTAAAGACATTCAACATACATAACAATCAAGCATTTGTCTAACCCCTTGTGTTCCCTAAGCTACCGCAGCAGGGGAGTTCTGAGATCCACCGCTCAGGCTCCCCTCTCGCTCTGTCAACGGTAGGAAGCCCTGGGCACGAGGAGCCCTTGAGCTCGGGGCTCTCTCCCGGGACAGCATCCCTGCTGACAAATCCAGCTTAAACCAGCCTAGGTGGGTTGGCTGGTTTTAGCTGGTCGATCAGGCTGGTTTTAGAGGGGTTTTGGCCACTTCCAGGCTGGTTTCCAGCCATTTCCAGCCTGGTCTTAGCTGGTCAGGCTGGGACATGACCAGCTAAAACCAGCTTGACCAGCCTAGCCAAGCTGGGAGTCCAGCCAAAACCAGCTATATCCAGCTTAAACCAGGCTGGTTTTAGCTGGATTTGGCTGGTAATTTTCCAGCCTGACCAGCTAAGACCAGGCTGGAAATGGCTGGAAACCAGCCTGGAAATGGCCAAAACCCCTCTAAAACCAGGCTGGTCAACCAGCTAAACCAGCCTAGGCTGGTTTAAGCTGGATTTTTCAGCAGGGATGCCAAACAAGCTTTTATAAATCATCAGCTAAGTGTGAACTCTTGAAACTTATCTTTAAAACTTACCCAGCACTACTAATTAACCTTCATTTTTCGAATCTGATTGTTAGGCAATAATGTACAAATGTACTTGAATTGATTTGAACAAGTATACCTGACAACATTTTTTGTGTCAGTATATCAAATGTGTATAATTTCATCTTTCATATGAACAGTCAAATCATGAAAACTCAAAATACTTACATTTATCTTTCATTCTCTTTCCAGGATTTCAGCTTGCCTCTTTTTTATCTGATGCTGACGTGTAACATCACATCCTCCTGTATGCTAAACAGGAAAAGGCCTTCGTGTGCTTAAACACAACATTCACCACTTCCTCCTCTAATACCTTTACTTTCTGATGAAGTGAAACACAGGACTGTGTTCAAATCAACTTGGATTATTCTCAGTGGTCAGGCTACAGAGGCTAAAAGTAGTCACGTGAAATAAAGCCAAAGTAACACATCACTATTTGGACCACAAAAAACAATCAAAATGGAGAGTCGAAATAGCAGCATTTGTGTGATCAACGACAACATGGTGCCGTTCGCCACAATCTACATCATCATCTTCCTGATTGGGATGGTGACTAGCTTGGTGGCTCTGTGGGCTTTCATAACTAGCCGTAGTGCTAAAAAGTGCATCAACGTTTACCTCATCAATCTTCTAACATCAGACTTTCTCCTCATGTTAGCATTACCCGTCAAGATTGCCAAAGATCTTGGCAATGCCTCCAAAGGTTTGACCATCTTTCACTGCCAAGTGAGTGGGCCGCTTATTTACATAAACATGTACGCATCCATCATCTTTTTAGCATTTGTTAGCATTCAGCGCTACCTCCAGATCACCCGCAGCTCCAAACTACTGCGGCTACAGGACGTGGGATTTGCGGTGCTGATGTCCTCTGTGGTTTGGTTCCTCGTACTCTTCATCAACGTACCCAACATGGCCATCCCCATCAAAAAAGACATTGAAGATAAAGTTGGCTTGACGTGCGCTGACTTAAAAGAGGATTTGGGCAAGCACTGGCATGCGTTGTCTGTGTTTCTGGGCATGGCGATCTTCTTCAACGCGTCGGTAGCCGTGCTTTTGTCCAACGGTCTGGTTTTGAGGAAGTTTTGGAGTCAGCATGAATCTGAGCCTGAGGAAAAGGCTATCGCCCGACATGCTGTTGTAAACATTGCATTGGTGACATTGGCTTACGTAGTGAGCTTCGTGCCGTATCATGTTGTCCGCATGCCGTACACCTTCACGCAGATAGAGGTCATCACTAAATGCACCTTAAAGAAGAGTCTCTTCTTGGCTAAAGAGTCCACTCTGCTTCTGGCCATCCTGCATCTGTGCTTTGACCCTGTGCTGTACTTTGTTTTTTGCCGCGCATTCAGGTATCAGATCACGAAGGCCTTCACTAAGAGAGACAGCGTTCCTACTGCTGATCCGGAGTGAAATGGTACCACGTTAGGGTGAAGTGCTTAGTTGGATGCGAATGTAGGATTGAGAAAAATATCCCATGATTCTTAAAGCTATCACTTATACACTCTTTCTTCTTTATAATGAGCACAGATGAAGTTTAATGGAGATTAACTCCATTTAATGGACATTGCAGCCACTCAGAAGACCTTTTGTCTATTGACCTTATTAGGAAGTGTGCTCGTATTTGCGATTGTTTTAGTACTTTCGATTCAGTATCCTATGGGAGAAAGGTTTAGGAATAAAGCTACGGTCACACTAGAGTCCGTGTGTGGGAAATTCTACCCTAGTAGCAAAGAATTCTGGCCCAGATTTGGCAAAAAGCTGGCACAGCAGGCATTCATCCGGCACTGGCATACAGCATGTGGGCCAAACATGGCCCGGGTTTGGCAGAGGTGGCACCGTCTTTAAGGCGGCACACAAGATTTGGGCCAGATGTAAAACGTAGTATTTGGCCCAGATTTAAAAATTTGATAAGCGGGCCATGTGAGTTTGGCCAGTCTTGACCCACATTTAAAATACACTAAAATCATTTTTGAGTAAAGAAAAAAAATTCTACCAATCAGGTCACTGAGAAAAAGCGTGCCCATAGTGTGCCTAAAGCGCATCACTCCATGGGTTTATCAATTTCATTGCAATCGTGACACACCAACCCATCTGGCCCAGTTCAGGCCCAGTTATGAGTTATTAACTTGGCTGAGACTTGGCCCAGATATGGTCCGTGTTTGGCCCTTGTCTGGAAGCCAGATTTGGTCCAGTCATGTACCGTAATTCACTGCGGCATGTGGGCCAAGCAAAACCTGATTGTGTGGGCCAGAGCTGGGCCAGAGAAATTTTGCTATGTGGGATATCGTACGGCGCTGCGAAAAGCGGCGGGATTAAACAAGCTCATTAGACATTTAAAAAAGCGAGAGATTGCTCCGTGTTTTAAATTTCTGTCCACTGAGGTCATGTTTTGATCCTCGATTGATCTCGCACAGTCAAGTGATGCGATTTCGCAGGTCAGAGTTCACCGAGCTTGAACTTTGCACCGCAGCAGCCTGCAAAACTTGACGCATGACCCTGCGTTTCTGGTCTGACGCATTCGCGTGGACGTCTATGGGAGCAAAAGCCCAGGGTGATCGCAGCTTAATAAGTGAAGTTTCACAAACTAATTTTGAGAGGAGCACGTGATATGATTGATCGCAGCTGGTCTCTCATCACAATCATTAGTAAGCCAATCAGATTAGTCCAAAAACTCACTATAAGAAGCCCGGCTAAAGTTACTCCCTTATCTAACCCCCATCCACCCTATCTCCTTTCCTCCTTTACCAGGGGGAGCTCCCGAGATCTACCTGATCTCGTACACCCCTTACCAGCTCATGGACCAGGCGGGAGCCCTGCGCTCAATTATCCCTGAGCCCAGGATTCTCTCCGGGGACAGTATGCCAAACCTGCTAATATTATCAAGCAATATCTGTGTGAGCTCTCGAAACAACAGAAAACGGTCAAAATACTTGCTCTACAAACAAGTGTGTTTATGACTATGCATGATAAGTATAAACATAGAATCAGCTTGCAACATCAAGCAGCTTAACAAGCAGTTTTTAACACTTAGAAATCAGTAGAAGTGGATGAGACCAGAAGTCTTAAGTAAAAAGATTCCAGTGGCTGCGCCGTATGAACCCTAACAGGGAGAATCATGGTGGTGGACCAACACAATCTCACGGCAATTTGTAACTTTTTTATTTAGTGGCTAAATCCTATGAATTCGTACGATCTAATTCGTACAATTTAGCACGTAGGTGATAATGAATGTGCTTTATTTATAATGTTATGTTTTGTGAATATGGACGCAGTGGCGCAGGTAGTGCTGTCGCCTCACAGCAAGAAGGTCGCTGGGTCGTTGGTTCTATCCTCGGCTCAGTTGGCGTTTCTGTGTGGAGTTTGCATGTTCTCCCTGCGTTCGCGTGGGTTTCCTCCGGGTGCTCCGGTTTCCCCCACAGTCCAAAGACATACGGAACAGGTGAACTGGGAAGGCTAAATTGTCCATAGTGTATGATTGTGTGTATGAGTGTGTGTGGATGTTTCTCAGAGATGGGTTGCGGCTCGAAGGGCATCTGCTGCGTAAAAACGTGCTGGATAAGTTGGCGGTTCATTCCTCTGTGGTGACCCCAGATTACTTAAGGGACTTAGCCGACAAGAATATGAATGAATGAATGTTTTGTGAATGTTCTCTCTAGGTTATAAAACCCCCAAAATAACCTACAGGAAACGTTCTGAGAAGGTTCTCTTTGGGTTATGAAAATAATATCCAAATTAAATATACAGGAAACATTCTCGTAAGGTTATTTTTAGGTTATAAAAATAACACTTAAAAATAGCCAGCAGAGAATGTTCTTGGAAGATTCTCAATAGGTTATAAAACTAACCATCAAAAATAACCTGCATAGAATGTTTTGGTTACAAAAAAAAACAAAAAAACAAAACCTACAGAGAACATTTCCAAATACTTATTTTTGTTTCCCAAATAATTAATTAACTAAACAGGTTATTATGTTAGCGAAATATTAGATATGGTGGGGAAAATTACTCACACACAAAAATGTTTTTAAGATCTTTTATTTATATTGTATTGTTTTTAATCACAAACATGCTATTGCACTGATAATTTGCAATATATTATAATTTTCATCACAGCTAAAAAAATTTTTTAATATGAATCTCTCACAAAATCCATCACTAATGTTTGAGAAAGCATTCATTAACGCACTGGGATCATGTAGATTACTGTTATGATTAATAAATGTTTCAGAACTTCAACTCGGAAAACTGGACTGACACTGTTTCAATTTACTAGAACGTCTATGTTAAGCTGCTTTGACACAATCTACATTTTAAAGGCGCTGAGAAATAAAGGCAAAAACTGAACAAGTGTTCTCCCTTTATTGACAATTGCGAATTGCATTATGGAACCTTGATTTCCGCTCTGTCAACTTTTGATGTTGAAAATTCAGCTCTGCAGTTTAACAAAGTGACTTTCATTGACATTTTAGTAGTTTGAAATATTATAATGTATAATAAATAATATTTAGATAAATGAGTCTCTAAAATCACAGAAAATCTACTGGCAAATTATTACAAAGTTTTTGTACCATAATATACACCTCCAAACTAGAAAATATATTACTTTAAACTATTAAAAATGTTATTGAAAGTCACTTCTTCAAACTTTTCAAGGTTAGAAGATGTTGGAAAATAGATCAATGCCCCATAATGCAATTCAAAAGCATAAATAAATGGGAAAAAATAAGAAATAAAAGCATGAATCACCAAATCACGAAACCAAAACTGCTAATTTACAGATCATTTTTGTGAGTAATTTTTTTTTTTTGGTGTTTTTGCATTTTCATTTTTATTCATGTAAGAACTGATCCCTGAGTAAATGACTTGACTGAATTGCATTGCACATGAAAATTCCTAATGCGAATCTTTAAATTATATTTCTAAATAATAAATGTTATACAGAACAACATCTAATTTCTCTGTCTTCTCTCTTCAGTCATGACCTTTAAGATTGTGTTTTCGCATAAATGCGTGTCACTTCTCTGCATCACGTCTCTGTTGATATGACTGTGTCACAGACGTCCTGTGTAGGATGAGTCAAAAGGTCACAGTATATGCAAATTTGGACAGTCCCAGGGGTCAAACATGAGATTTTATGATTTCTGCATAAAATTTATACAATATTTATAAAAAAAAATACATGGACGATGCGTACTTTGTTTTTGGGTTTTTTTGTAATATTTTGGCATTTATTTTTCACTAAATCATCAGATATATCTCCATACAGAGATCTTATATACAGGTATGCCTATATTTGAAAATTCTATGTTAATTTTATATTTTAAAATTCTGTATTTATTCTATAAAAATATATGTATTAATATATATACAGTTGAAGTCAGAACTATCAGCTCCCCTTTGGATTTTTTTCTTTTTAAAATATTTCCCAAATTATGTTTAACAGAGCAAGGATGTTTTTACAGTATGTCTAATGATATATATATTTTTTTTTCTGGAGAAAGTCTTATTTGCTTTATTTCAGCTATAGAATAAAAGTAGTTTTTAATTTTTAAAAAATATTTTAAGGTCAAAACTATTAGCCCCATACAGCCCGCTATATTTTTTCGACAGTCTACAGAACAAACCATCATTATACAATAACTTGCCTAATTACCCTAACCTGCCTAGCTACCTAATTAACCAAATTAAGCCTTTAAATGTCACTTCAAGCTGTATAGAAGTGTCTTGAAAAATATCTAGTCAAATATTATTTACTGTCATCATGGCAAAGATAAAATAAATCAGGTATTAGAAATTACTTATAGATAGACAGACAGACAGACAGGCAGGCAGGCAGGCAGATAGATCAAATCTACTAATTTGTTTACAAATCTCTCTTTTAAATTCATATTTTTAATAGGAAGCTATATTTGTGCATTTGCTTTAAATTAGTCAGTACTGAAGCCAAATCTGGAGCTTATCTAACAAAATAACTAACGATAATGGTCCAAGAACTAGTACAGCCAAATGTATACATTAGAGAAAAATATTAAATACAAATTTAAAAGAGGAAAAAATCAAGAGAAGCAAAAAGAAAAAAAAATAGTTGAAATTTTGTAGGTTGTAATTTTATTTTTGCAATATTTTGCTGGAATGTAATTGTATTAACCTTCAATTTCTAAATATATTTGATGACTAAAATAGTATTTTATTAAAAATATCTGTTTAATAAATCTGTTTTGTTTAAATGCACCAAAATACACTGCCTATATTCACTGAAAAATGGATAAAATATGCATTTTCAAAATGGGGTATATATATATATATATATATATATATATGATGAGATGTATGTTGAGGGCGAAATGATTATCCCTCCTGTGCAGCATTTATTCTTTTTCAATTATTCATATTTTTAAGTAATATTTCATGGATCAAGGAAAGTTTTCACAGTATTTTCTATCTATTTTTTCTTACTTGTTTTATTTCAGCTAGAATAAAAGCAGATAAAAAAACATTTTAAGGTCAAAATTATTACGTTTTAGCGTTTTATTTTGCTTCAGTTAGCTGTATACTGTAAGATGTATATTTATGCTACATTTTTACATATTCTGATCTTATTAAAAGATTAAAAATACTAGTGACAAAATAAGAAAAAAAAAACCAATTGGTTTGAATGATAGTGACATCAATAACATTAGATAATTTACTTTTCTAAGATAGCAATGCTCAATTCCTGTTCTGACTATAACAATATGACGTTTATTTCAATAGTTTTATTGCTGACTTTTGTAAATCAGCTATTAAACACACACACACACACGCACGCACACACACACAAAAAAAAAAAAATATATATATATATATATATATATATATATATATATATATATATATATATATATAAAGTCCTTCATCACATCACGCTCAATAAACTTCATATTCACATCTCAATTGTAGCAATAAAATTAAACTCTGTCCAGTGTAAGGTCACATCATGCGCGGTCACTGGCGCGAGACATTCAGAGCGGTTGCTTGGTAACGCAGTACAGTGAGCGCGCTTGGCGTAACTCTATCCAGAGGAGACATTGGGATCCAACTTTCCTCTGACAGCATGTGTTACATATCATTAGAGACCATTTTATAGCGTTCATATATTCAGGCGTGCAAAGAAACCCACAGCATGTTGGATTGCATGAAGATTGTCAGTGCGCGTCTTAGTTTGGATTTCCACTGATGAGGCTGTGCGCGTCGCCGTGTCCAAACACAATGCCTAACCGTCAAAAGCAAGTTATATTCTCCATCGCCGGGGTGCTTTGTTTTGGTTGTGTTTTAGTCGTGGCGGCTGCAATGGGCACTCAGTTTTGGGTTCAAGCGGCTGTTTTGTGTAAAACAGGAGCTCAAATTGTTAACGCGTCCGGGGCAGAGCTGGGTAAATTCATCGGAAAGGCAAACTACGGACTTTTTCACGGACATGGGATGAAACAATGTGGTCTGGGAGACAGACCCTTTTATTTTTCATGTGAGTAACTTCATCATATTAGAAAATATTTCAAATACACCATGAACTTAAAGAGTAGGGGCTTAATAGGCTGCGAAAACCACATTAGATTAAATAAAGAGGTCTCAGTTTATTTTAACTGGCCTTAATCCTACCCAAACCTAAACCCAACTAATACCTTACTGACTATTAATAAGAAGCTAATTTGTAGTTTACTGAGCTAAAAGTCGTTAATGGTTTGTTAGTTGTGTGAAATGTACATTAAATTAAGTGACACAATGCACTTATGTGTACATTTACATGTTTACATTGTACTGTTGACCCGCCTGAACCCACCCTTAAATCTACCAATATACCACTAAACCTGTCCCTAACCTTGCCCTATTGCCAAATAGCTGACTTTTTCCATCGCAAAAGTTGTCCAAATCCCACCCAAATGCACAAAATATTAGATTAACACACAGTTACATAAGGGTGTTATAGTGGTGCAATAAGTAGCACGTTCACCTCACAGCAAGAAGGTTGCTGGTTTGAGCCACGGCTGGGTCAGTTGGCATTTTTGTGTGTAGTTTGCATGTTCTCCCTGTATTACATGTACGCAGGGCATCCGCTGCGTAAAACAAATGCTGGATAAGTTAGCGGTTCATTCCGCTGTGGTGACCTCTGATTGATAGAGGGACTAAGCCGAAAAGAACATGAATGAATAAATGAACACACACACACATATAACCTCTAACTGCCGTCTTAAAGTTTCTTCTAAAATTATCATTTTTCTCAGACTTCTGTGTGTAGATTTTGTTATTTAATTTTATGGTGATGAGTAGATTATTTTCATTGCCTTTAAAGTGAAATGACTCAACATAAACATAGGAGGCTGAGAAAAATGCTCAAAAATATTTTAATGACAATTTCAGACGACACGGTTTTGCATCTTAACTCTTCATTTATATATCTATATATATATATATATAGTTGAAGTCAGAATTGATTTATTTTATCTTTGCCATGATGACAGTAATTAATATTTGACTATATATTTTTCAAGACACTTCTATACAGCTTAAAGCGACAATTAAAGGTTTAACTAGGCAACTAGGCAGGTTAGGGTAATTAGGCAAGTTATTGTATAATGATGGTTTGTTCTTTAGACTATCAAGAAATATAAAGCTTAAAGGGGCTAATAATTCTGAATTAAAATTTAAAATTGCTTTAATTCTAGCCCAAATAAAACTATCTCCAGAAGATAAAATACTATCAGACACACTGTGAAAATGTCTCTGCTCGACTAGACTAATTAGTCTAGTTACTATCACAAGAGAGGATTTAGCAAAATCCTTGTTTTGTTACGCCTAACTTTTGATTCACTTTATATTCACAACAGGATGCTGAAGATCTCAGGTGAACATCTTATTGGAACAAAGGCACCATCAAATACAGGAGTTTGACGTTACTACTAACTTAATGGAGAAGGAGCACACAGTTAACTTAAAAAATGTCAAGTCCATAAAATGTATGTGTCCAAAAGGCTCATATTTTGTCAGCCCACCTATTTGATTTGGATTTAGTTTTAAACTTTTAATTTTGTCTTTTTATATTTCAATTTCAAAACAAAATATGCAGTAATAGCCTAATAAAAGTAAGGGACTAAAAAGGGACTGGGTTCTTTTCCATCAAAAGGACTAATGTCACTTCAGCTGGTTTCCTTTGTGTTTTTTTGGTCCAGTTTGATTCTTTTTAAACAAACTAAATGTGAAAACACCCATAGGCGTTATTTCATTCCAATACTTATTTATTGTCTTTAGGGCTCTATGCTAACTTTTTGCATTTTTAACAAAGGTTGGTGCACCCAAATTCTCAAATCGATTTCATTTTCGATGACCCAAATCACATGGCATCTACCACTGCAGTTTTACACGTTTTTATTTTATCGCTATTCATATACAAGATATTACTATCTTACAATCTGGTCAACATAAAGTTCTTTAAAGCACAATTATCCAAGAAAGTGACAGCAAAAATTAAGAAAAACAACTCTTAATAATATTCAAATAGTGTGAGAGTGAGTTATCTTTATTACTGGACACGGTGCTACTCGTTGTATTTGAAATAATGAATCATATTTGTTTTTAACTATGATTGATGGACATTTTTCAATAAACACCAAACAAAACATAAAACATTTTAAAGTGGATCCAAAACAGACAAAAATCAGGTGCACTTCATGGGCTTGAATGGGGTCCGTTATTGCCAGTAAAAATGCCAGACTTAAAATTAGCATGTAGTGTCACACCAGAGAGAGGCACGGTGGCTCAGTGGCTAGCACTGTCGCCTCACAGCAAGAAGGACACTGTTTTGAGTCCGAGCTGGTTTCCCCCTCTGTCCAAACACATGAGCTATAGCTGAATTAGGTAAACAAATGTGGCCTTAGTGTATGAGAGTGTGTGTGCATGAGTGTGTATTGGTGTTGCCTAGTCCTGGGTTGTGGCTGGAAGGGCATTCACTGCGGAAAACATATGCTGGAATAGTTGCTGGTTCATTCCGCTGTGGCAGCCCCTAAAAAATAAGGGACAAAGCTGAAGGAAAATGAACTAATGTCTCCCCAGCGGACATGGATTTCAGTGATAAAATGTATCAATTCTTATGTTTTCATAAATATATGAATTAAAAAATATTGTGATTTACTTAATTAGCCACTTGTAAAATTAGGCATTAATTGACATTATATACATTTTCTTTTTAATTTATAAGAGCTGTCGTTTACTGATATGCTTGAGACAGTGACACTGTATTGGTTTTTATAACAGGAGGTCCATTGAAAACAAATAAAAAAAATGACTGCATTGTAAATGATGACAATACTAATTACCTTGACTCACTGATATTGACCAAAATATTTGTAAATTGTTTCATAATTGAGCATAATTGTAAACTTGCTATACATTACAGCAGTCAAGTTCCACTGTTCTTGTAGACAAAACCTGACCCGCACAAACATGCACTCAAACAGCAATAAACATAACAATTAAAATTCTTATTTAACCTATAAAAGTACAAACCTCTGCTTCATTAGAACCAAACTGCATATTTCTTTTCAATGGTTTTATCATGGTTTTTAAGATGGAATCTTCTCATTGATGGGCTTTGAATGAGTTTCAATTGACAGATCTTTTATGACAGCTTCAGCATTCCTTCCTAATGAGATCTGGTAAAGCCCCAGATTTAAGAGGCCGATGTTTAGCAGAACAAAACAATACTGTCATCATGGGTTTGTTTTTAGTTACAAGAAAATACACGAAGATGCAGACAGAAATGAGTCATATGTAGGCCCACACGGAATCTGGGCGCGCAGAATTCCGCAGATTTTCAGCAGAATTCCGCAGAATTCTGCAGATTTTTAGCCTATTATTTATTCTGTTTATTTACTTGAGTAAATGTGTAAATCTGAATTTATTCAGTTTGTATTCAGTAATTTATTACTTTTTATTTAATATATTAAGGTTTTAGGTATGATACTCCGCTGGATACTCCCAAAATAAATCCGCAGAAATCCGCAGATTTTTACCAAAATTCTCCACAGAAATAGCAAAAAACGTCCACAGATTCCGTCTGGCCCTGGTCATGTCACTGCAAAAAAAAAAAAAAAAAAAAACTTTGGGTTTCTGTTTCGTCTGTCGTCCAAATATGTAACAATTCTTAAATCAAGAAAATTTTTCTAGACAAGCAAAAAATATGGTCTTGTTTTCAGAAATTAATTAAGTGAGTTTTTTTCATAAATCAAGCAAGACAATCTGCAAATTGAAATAAGGTTAATTTGGCTTCCCATTGGCAGATTATTTTGCTTGTTTATTGAAAAACTCACTTAATTTTGACTTATTATCCCTTAAAACAAGACAGTGTTTTTTTTTTTTTGTCTAGAAAAGTGGTTCTCAAACTTTTTCACCAAGTGCCACCTCAAAAATAAACTGTCTCTCCAAGTACCACCATAATGACCAGTATTGAAGCGACAGCAGTGCACAGTTTGAAAACGAGTCATATTCCTACAATTTCTGATCAATTTTGAAATGTATGTTGCATGTACATATGACATTTTTGTTAAACTGTTGGAAATCTAAACATTAACTTGTATGAAGATTGGTAGGGAACCCGTTTTTCTCAGAGGATGTCAAGCTGACAAAACATTGCTGCACTCTGAAGTTTTATGTATGGAGAAATTAATAAGCACTGCAGTGTTTGAGTGTTCTGTGTTTATCTGAGATAACTAGCCTAACGAAATTATATTCCATAAAAAACTATGAGGCTGATCAGTCGGTTCTTGTAACGTGACTCGCGGTGCGGCATTCTGAAAAGGTAAAATGTTTTCAACTGTGTACACCTGGAATTCGCAAGTGCGTCGTGCAGTTCTAACTCATTTCGCTAGCCTGTGGGTTAAATGTTGGCACTTAAGTGACCTACAGTAGACGTAACAAGAGAATACGGTGATTTTTGCAAAATAAAAAAAAATATCAAAATAAATGATCATTCAGACTCGGAACAGAAATAATTAATAATTGTTTTGTGCGGCCCGGTACTAGTTGAGCTATAGGCTGGTGCCGGTCTGTGGCCTGAGGGTTGGGGACCACTACTCTAGCGTGTATCTGCTCTGCAAGCACGATGAACCTCTATTTCTAGTTCTAGTTCTCTAGTTCTTCGCCAACTGGATTGATTTTTAGCAGCTGATGACGCAATGCACTAAAGTAAACATTCTAAGCACAGCGCTTTGAGCGTAGGCTTTAGAGAATAGCTAATGCTGATCACATCGGTGTTATCAAATGATTAAAATTGTTCATTTTTTCTTTCATTACTCAGTGATTCCTTCGTGTACCACTAGAAGTAAGCCTGCGTACCACTAGTGGTACACATACCACAGTTTGAGGTCTAGAAAATGCTTCTTGATTTAAAGGGCACCTATTTAACCCCTTTTCGAGATTTAAGATAAGTCCTTTGTGGTATTTTCGTACAACTCAACTTTTTCCAATTGGCCACTGACCAAACGTAAAAAAAGTTATATTTCCTCATGAGATCAAGCTGGATAATTTATATACTCAGTGTCTGATGTTATGCTCTCTTGGCTCTCTGTGTAGTTTTTCCTGACCTGATGGATGTGGTTCCAGCCAGTCTTCACGTGAGCGTGATCTTCTTCTGCTCGGTGCTCATCGTCTTCTCCTCGGTGTGCTGTGGATTCTTCTTTTACAATGCTTTCGGGAGCCCATATGAGACGCTGCATGGACCCCAGGGCCTTTACCTCTGGAACATGATCAGCTGTAAGAGATGCAAACAATACAAGCAAGTTTAAACACAACACCATATTTTTGACTGTAATTCAAGTAAAATTTAAATTCGAAGTGATTTTTCACGGTTAATCCCGAAACGCCATATTTATTACAGAAATAAAAGGACAGGCATTAAATGCCATTTGGATTTCAAAACAGTCTCAAAAATGATTTCCATGTTGGATTCCAAGTGGACTACACACACACGCGTGCGCAACACAGCGGAGGGAGGGAGGGATCCCTTCAGGTTCATGAACACGCACAATGGCATTCATCAAATTTGCTTAAACTACGCGCTCTAAAGTATGTCTGTATTTTACAAGCAAGGATTCTGACACAGCAACGTGAAACTTATGAAATGTGGGGGCTCATGGACGCATGATTAGAGAATAGGGCAGAGAATAGGGCTGTCTGACAGCTTGCGACTTCATCTGCCATTTTCACTGAGTACATTTACATGGACACCAATACTCCGCTTTTATTATTAAGATAATACTGATTAAGAGTTGACCATGTAAGCAGCAAATTTTTAATACCTTAAAGGATCACACGAGTCCCAAAATGCGGAGGTTTTTCTTTCTGTTCGCCATGCGGTATCAAACGCCATTAAAACATCCTGAAAAAAAATCTGCGGAATGAGAGTGAACTGCTGAACTGCAGTTAAAGTCTAAAGATTAAAGATGAAACACCCGAAATTGCATGAAACTCTGGAGGAAACGCAAGTTAGCCTGATGATGCGACATTAATTATTTTATACTGAAACTTTCCTTTTCCCAGAAATGGGTTGCGGCTGGAAGGGCATCCGCTGCGTAAAAACTTGCTGGATAAGTTGGCGGTTCATTCCGCTGTGGCGACCCCGGATTAATAAAGGGACTAAGCTGACGAGAAAATGAATGAATGAAACTTTCCTTCTGAAAGTGCGTCCTTGGTCTTCTTTCTTTGCATGTTAAACACACGCAGGGCCGGGGCAAACTGAACTGGCGCTCTAGGCAAACGGCAATCACGTCGCCCTCAGGCCAAAAGTGAAAAAGAAAGTAACCTTTTTGCTGATGAAAGCAAAGACCGTGAGGGAGAGGGTCAGTGTAGCTGATAAAGGTGAAGCCGGGGGGTTCGCTCACTATTCTGCTGCCCAAGGCGCCCGCCTAGGTTGCCTCTATGGACGCACCATCCCTAAACACACGTTGGCCACAACAGGAAATAAAAAATATTATTAAAAAATATTTAAAATTAATCACATGCGTTAACACATTAATTTTGACAGGCCTAATTTTTACATGTATTTGTGGGCAAACTGGTGATCCTCAGCCCATCTTTGCTACTAAAGGATTAGACCTTTCTTGGGTGCTGCTTTTGTACCAAATCATAATAACAATCACCTGTTGACATCACCTGTTTCACATCACATCATTATTTAAACCAATTTATCTGTTTACCGGCCCTAAGCTGCACCTGTGCCAACTTTATTTGGAATGTGTTGCATATATATGATATGGGCGTTAGGACCCACACAGACTGCAAGTTGAATGCCCCCTGCTGGTAAAAACTCATAGAAATATACACTAAATATCGCATAGGGACCCTGAGCATGCGTCAATAACGCTGCCATATTGGTACAGTGCTCCCAGGACAAATGTCATTCAACCGCACTAGTCAAGACAGTGTTATTACGTGAAGATGCGGGACTTTAGCACTGTCTACGGGTGTAGTAACGAGCAAACAAAGAAAACAAAGCACAAAGGCAGAACATTTCATAGGTAATATTAAGTTTTTTTTTTGTTTTTGTATGTTCTGAACTTTTGTGCTAATCAGGTAACGTTATTGATGATGACAGTCACTTACTGCATTCACCATACAGCAAAGCAGCTCCAACTCGCACTAAACACTCGGCTTATGCTAGTTTTGTTGTATAAAATCAGCAAACAATGCAAAAGAAATATGACGAGATGCTGCGCTGGCAGAAACTTGCATTATTGTCGGCTAACGTTAGTGAAAGAGTCGTTTGGGGGATTCATTCATAAACGAATCGCTCCCTCCGTCAGTATGAGAAGTGAAAGCAGCAGAGGAGGTGTGTTTCAGGACACGGATTAGATTACATTTAACAGGGAGGGTGAATAGTACATTTCTGTACACACAAGCACAAGCTTTTTGTCAGGAATGCCCGTGCGGTCACTGATCCATCAATGTAGAAAAGTGATGTAAAATTGTAATTTTCGTAATTAGAAAAAAAATTACACACTAACATTCAGGAAAAATGATCATAGATATATGTTTATATGTGTATATCTCTGGCTTTGGATGGCCACAGTCCTCCACTGTACCTTGGTCCCGCATTCATTTAAAAGGAGCGCTACCCTGTAGCAAGATGGCGGCGCTATTGACGCATTCCGTCCAATAGACAACAATAGGCCAGGCGACATCTAATGTATATATCTATGGTAAAAACTCTAAAACTAAACTCAGAATTGCTTTAACAGAGAATTTTAAAAATCTCAGAATAGATGTAGAGTTGATTAACCACAGCTTTAGTCAATATGGTCCTTAAGGAGCTAAATTGTATTATACAGTACATATAGACTCAGGTACATGTACCTTTTGACAGCTCTCAGACCAGAAAAAAAAATGCCTCTGCACTGCTGAAAATGTGATAGGCCACTAATGCAATGTTGTGTTTCCTGCCAGCTTTCTGCGCCTGCTTGGTCCTCATTTTGTTCTCCTCTGAGGTCAAGCTGCACCACCTCACTGAGATCATCTTCAACTTCAACGAGGGCAGCTTCGTCTACAAGACTCACAGCGAGTGCTACGACAGGTCCTTCTGGCTCATCTTCCTCACCTTCCTCTTGCACGGCCTCAACGTCCTGCTCATCCGCCTGGCCGGGATCCAGTTCCCCTTTCAACAGGCCAAAGAGTCCGACGCCAGCACCGGAGCTGCAGATCTCATGTACTGAGCGGCTCTTTTCTTTTGTTCGTCTTCCTCCCCTGCACACGACATCCACCCGCATCGAGGAGCGCTTCTCAATAGGAGTCTTCTGGACGCCAGCATCCGCTTTGTTTACAGCGGAAAGTCAAGGCACATTTGAGCCTCTTAAGCCATTGAGAGCACGTGGTGGTGTTGAGCCTGGAGATGCTCGTGTGTCTGGAGGGAAGAACATTCAGTCTGTCAATCACTGAAACAATTAACGCTCACTGTTTCGAGCGGCTGATGAAAACAGCCTGTAGTTTCCAGTCTGCATGGGGACATCACAGTTTCCTCTGCTCGCCGAGCTTTTATTCGCACAAAAGGGATGCGACAATTGGCGATTCTCTGCGCTGACAACAAAAAGTATTTTGACCCTTAAGCCACACTTAAATATGTATGAATGTCCGCATTAGATAAGCTGACCCACCAAGCAGTTTTGTTTAATAGATGTCTAAGGCCATGTCCACACATACACAGGCATTTTATAAAATGGATTTTCCCTGCTTTCATTTAAATAAAAAAAAATGTCTATTCACATGAAAATGCAAAAATGATGCAAACTAACAGGCGACGATTATGACACTTTTATGCGGGGTTACACCAAATAGGGAATTAAGTATTTGAATGAGTAAATTGCATACAAATCAATTCAAAAGTGTTAACAAAGGTGAGTTACTGTTCTGTGGATTAACAACACAGGGTGTCGAAGGGTGGCAGGGCGCACTCTTATGGATAGGGTGATGAGCTCTGACACCCGGGAGTCGCTGCTCCTCCACATCGAGAGAAGTCAGCTGAGTTGGCTCGGGCATCTGCCTTTTGGACGCCTACCAAGGGAGGTGTTCCAGGCTTGTTCCAGGGAGGTGGCCTAGGGGAAGACCCAGGACACACTGGAGGGACTATTGCTCTTGGCTGGCCTGGGAACGCCGCGGGATCAACCCGGAGGAGCTGGAGGAAGTGTCTGGGGATAGGGAAGTCTGGAGTTCTCTTCTAAGACTGCTGCCCCCGCGACCCGGCCACGGAAAAGCAGCAGAAGATGAATGAATGATGAATGATAAACAACACAAAATATAATGATGACAAAAGGCCTTTTTTTGTCACATACACTTTTACATGTAGTGAAATTGGACCCCCCCCCGACCGTAAAGATAGCTTTTAGAAAGAGGACATAAGATACATGAGGGAAGAGGGAGGCAAAAAAAGTCCCTCTCATACTATTCTTGAAGTAGGGCAGTGTGAGATCAGGAGGAAAAAAGCCACAGGACAAGCACATAAACACATAGACATAAGCCCCTTTCAGACAGTGATACCGGTAAATATCCGTAAAATTTCTGGAACGAATTTCTTTACCTGTAGATTCAAAAAGCGCTGTTAACATAGGTGAGGACGTTCAGGAGTTTTTTTTTCCGGAAAGAACAATCAAACATCTATTCCAAACATTAACCAGAAATGAGCTCTAAAGGGCTGAGCTTTTATTTGTAAACATTTGACTACACACAGTGGGTGAGTATGTATTGTGAACATCTTCGATGCAAACATATGGAGAAACACTTTCGCATGTCAAGATGTACATAATATGTATGTGTGCTGGCGCTCACCAGCTGGTTCACGTGCACACAGATGCATCAAGCAACTTAAAGAAGCAGACCTTGAAGGTAAACAAACAACGGCTTATCATAAGCATCTTATCGATAATTATTTGCACAGTTGGCATTAAGAAGGAACATGGAAACGTTACCTGACTAACATCTAGCAGCTAAATGTGTCTGGAAAATATTCAAAGGCTTTTATCTTCGTAAACAGCGCAGACATGAATGCGTCTAACTGTTCTGATTGGCTAAATTAGACATCTCACGTCAGCACGTTCTAGACGTGAACACTCTTGAAACAGGGAAAGGGGAGGGAAGGAAGGAACTTGAGCATCTCGTTATCAAGTGCTCCGGGAAAAGTTGTTTGTCTCTAGCCGAGGCCGTCTGGCAGGAAAGCCACAGGGAAGCGGAAAGAGAATAAATTTGGGTCAGTATTAGGGTCAATATCTGTCAATTTTGCAAATATCTAATGTCTGACACTGGTCTCCAGGTCTGTCTAAATCTTGTTGCAAAGCTGCTAGTTTCTCCCCAATGTTTTCCAATTTGCGGTCTATAGCCACAGACTAAATACTAACAAAACCTTCTCACCATCATTTCAATCCAGCTGGCCTGCTTGTTGGGGTTTTAAGTCGCACTGACCACTTCCTAAGCCCATCAGCAGAAACCCTATTCTGAGTTCTGAATAGATATCTTAAATATCCTCCAGGGACAGAGCAGCCAGGCACATGACATGCCACTTCTCTCACATGTCCATTATGTATAGAGCTGCAAATGTTCCTGCAGGACAGTTGGGTTCCCCTGAACTTAGACTTCTCGTCGAAAAGATGGTGTCAATTGCATTCAGAGACCAGTTGATCAAATCCGTAATTCCTTATTTGTTTGGAGAGCAGGGCAAGGAAAGCCTCAGATATGCAAATATGTGATGCGGTTGCTGTGGATGTGTGGGATTTTGCCTCATTTGCGTTTTCCTCATTTAGTGTAAAAGCAGTTGTGTTGGCCAATCAGAAAGCATAAAGCTGTGTACGCTGACATCGTGAGACGTAAACTCCGGTTGTAGTTTCTACATGACCGTGCTTTATCCGGAGTTTTGGAAAATCTGGTTAGAGTTTTCAAAAAGTTTGGTTTCAGTCCTGACTGCGTTTTTGTGTGGACAAACAGCGAAACCGTATAGAAAAAAGTACGGCTTTGAAAATACCTGTGTTCGTGTGGACAGGGCCTAAAAAATGTCTAAACAGACTTTTTTGGCTAAAAATCCGTATCATTTGCAAATATTTGAGAAATGCAGCAAAATTACAGCCACCTTCTTTGTGTTCCTACTTGACATAAATTGTTTACTTAAGTACATCACTTTAGTTTTTGTTCTCGTGCTCTGATTTGTTCCCTGCTGAAAAAAAAACAGCTTAAACCAGCCTAGACTGGTTGGCTGGTTTTAGCTGGTCAACCAGGCTGGTTTTAGAGGGGTTTTGGCCACTTCCAGACTAGTTTCCAGCCATTTCCAGCCTGGTCTTAGCTGGTCAGGTTGGCAAATGACCAGCTAAAACCAGTTAAAAACAGCTTGACCAGCCTGGTTTAAGCTGGACATAGCTGGTTTTGGCTGGGCTCCCAGCCTGGCTAGGCTGGTCACGCTGGTTTTAGCTGGTCATCTTCCAGCCTGACCAACTAAGACCAGGCTGGAGACCAGCCTGGAAGTTGCCAAAACCCCTCTAAAACCAGCCTGGTTGACCAGCTAAAACCAGCCAACCAGTCTAGGCTGGTTGAAGCTGGCTATATCAGTAGGGTTGCTGAATAACCAATCAAAGTGCTCTCTTCAACTGACGACCAACGTGATTCTACATGCTGAAACTTGCTCCAAACCATTAGCCAGACCAATGCTAACCAGAAAAATTCCAACAGCTGACCATCGGCTTGGTTTGTTTTACAACAATCTTAACAACAGTCCAAAAATAGACTAGTCATTAAATTTTTAGGTTTCTGTTAGAAGTCCTTCACTGACTGCCCAAATTGAGCATTGCTTTAGCTAAGACATCTACGTTTGGATGTCGACTAGACGTCTTTTAAACAAAAACAATTGTTGCTGGGAAGTGGCATTTGTCTGTATTCATAAAGACAACTCACTTTAAACAGAACTTATATATATATATATATATATATATATATATATATATATATATACATATATATATATATATATATATATATATATACATATATATATAATAAAACTATAAATGAGTTCCATCGTTTAATATTAGTTAATGCATTAACTAACAATAAGCAATAGTTTGCTGTAGTCTTTACTCATTTTTGTAAAAAAGGGCTGTTAATCCTTCATGATAGCTCAGGTTACAGGCAGTATTTACTAATAATAAAATCAAACATAATATTGTAAAACGCGAAGTAAGATTAATAAATGCTTCAGAAGTGTTTTGTAAGTTAACAACTGTACTGTATGTTAATAAATAAAACATTTTGGTAAAGTCTTGGCTACACGTTGAATATTTTGTATTTTAAAAGCACTGTCACTTCACAGCAAAGGGTTGATAGTTTGAGTCCCAGCTCGGCCATCTCTGTGTGGATTTTGCATGTTCTCCCCGTGTTTGCGTGGGTTTCCTTTGGGTACTCCAGTTTCAAAAAACATGGGAATTAAAAAACTATGTAAATCAAAAAGCTTGTCCTGTATGTTTAGCTATTTGATGAATATTATGCTCATGAGTTGTGATTGTTAGGATGTAGGATGAGAGGGGCCAAAAATATTAACAATTACAAGCAGAAAACACAATGATGTACTTGCAGCTTCAATTCTGAAAGCAGCTCACTATAAACTTCAGTGCCTTTACTCATAATAAATCTGTATCTTCAATGGCTTGTTTTTATTTGTATAAACATACAGTACATTTTCTGAACGCTGGATCGATATAGCAGGTTTTAAATGAATAGTTCACCCAAAAAATGAAACTTTACAGTTACTTACCTTCAGGCCTTTAAAGAAATATTGTAGATCACATTTTTCTGTCAGTAGATTACATTAAAGAGGAGTTTAGCTGAATCTGCGGTCATTGGAGATTTATATAATGCAAAGAGTCAAGTTTTAAAAAAATAAACATAAACACAGGCAAATCTAAATCAATGCCTATGGCTCCTGATGATACACTGAGGTCCTATAAAGAAATAACAATCATCAATGCAAGATATTGAACATAATTTACAATATTATTGACCTTATTCTAAAATGCGGAAGTGCACCTGTTTTTGCGATTGTCTTAGAACTTCCGATTCAGTCGAATATGGGAGAAATGACTAGGAATAATAAACGGCAGAAAACGGTCAAACTACTCGCTCTACAAACAAATGTTTGCATGACTATACAGACCAAGTAGAATAATATAATAAGAAAATATCAAATTGCAACATCAAGCAGCGTATCGAGCAGTTTTTAACGTCAAAAAACGAATGGAAGTGAATGAGACCGGAAGTCTCAAGCCAAAAAGATTGAAATGGCAGCGCCCGCTCGTCGGTGGAGAATAAGGTGATATAACACACAGCCTGGGCAAAAAAAAAAAAAAAAAATCAAGAGCATGAGTGTCAAGAGCATGAGCTTCGTTTCTTGATGATACAGTTGTGCTCAAAGGTTTACATACCCCTTGAGGAACTTGCCAAAATGTGAATAACTTAAACAAAATAAGAGAGATCGTACAAAATGCATGATCATTTCTATTTAGATATTTTACATAAAATATGTTTACATATAGTTCACTACACAAAAATCTAGCTTAAATTAGTAAAATACCCCCCTGCAAAAGTTTGCACACCTTTGGTTTTCAATACAGTGTGTGGTTTTCTGATTGGGAGTCTCAAACACAACTGTTAAAAAAGGTTTAAACTCTCACTGATGCTCCAGAAGGAAAACAAGGCAATTCCCTTCAGAGTCTTCCCTTCAGAGGTGACCTATTCTGCAAAAATCACTTTTATGATGGGTTTAAACACACTTATTAAAGGTTAAACTATGTTAATTAGGTTAACTAGGCAGGTTAGGGTAATTAGGCAAGTTATTGTATGATGATGGCTGCACTGTAGACTATCGAGAAAAATATAGCTTAAAGGGGCTAATAATTTTGACTTTAAAATGTTTTTAAAAAAATTTAAAACTGCTTTCATTCTAGCCAAAATACAACAAATATTACTTTATCCAAAAGGAAAAAATATTATCAGACATACTGTGAAAATTTCCTTGCTCTGTTAAACATCATTTGGGAAATATTTAAAAAAAAAATAAAAATTCAAAGGGGGCTAATAATTCTGACTTCAACTGTATATAAATATATATAAATGCCACAATTTGGATTAAAGGCTAAAATGAGCAGTTCTGAATAGTTCTAAAACATTATTTATGGGTTAAAATGAGTGGAAACTTCACATACACACTATAGGCACATCAGAGATTTATTTTACATCTTGTAATAGGTCATAGGCATAATAGGCATAATAGGCCCCCTTTAATATTCTACAGAAGACAAAAATTATGTATTTGGTCAATGACCTAAATTTTCATTTCTGAGAGAACTATCCCTTTACCCATCCAAAGACAATACAGTGAAAGAAGAGAGAAGCAGCTCTCATCACTCATGACATCACTAAACAGCACTGCTTTGTTCGCACTGAATTCAAACCAAACAGAAAAGAAAAGTCCTCCTCCTGCTGCCAGGAAAGAGTACAGTCAAAAGCGTCTTTCTGTCATGTGCGGAATATAAAGTGTCGGGTTTATAAGCCTTGTCTCGTCGACCTCTTTCACACTGAGGTTTGAAGGATTCTCACCAGAGTTTGGCAGTTCAGCGATCATGGCGACAGATAAGGTAAGATTCTCAGACATGTGTTACTGCTGTGCTAATCGAATGCAGAGCTGACAGGAAGCTACGTTTTGGTTTGCGGTTTGTGGCCGACGTAGACTGACACCGTTTTTAAATGAGTGATAAATAAATGGCAACTGAAATACATTTCAAGCAGCTTCTGTTTAAACATAAGTCTAAATGTTATGTGCCATTACATATTTAAAAAGTATCTCTAGCTCTTTTAAAGAAATGAAAAGGATTTTCAAGTTTATTAACAAAATTAATATTGTTTTCTTCAGTTTTTATTTTATTTCTTTATTTTCTTTCACTTAATTTGCAAATTGGGATACTGTTTTAGTTTAGTCCCTGCTAAAAAATCCAGCTTAAACCAGCCTAGGCTGGTTTAAGCTGGATTTTTCAGCAGGGACCGCAATGCGGGGAGGTGCAGAAGGGGCTTGCACATTTAACTGGACATGTCCTGGCAATGAGGAGTGGCTACACTTGTGAAAGCTGTGCTCGCCAATTTCATATGCATTCC